GGTGACGATGGGGATGATGATGTTCATAATGATGGTGGTGATGATAGTGTTGATGAGGACAGTGATGACAGGGATGATGATGGTTTTGATGAGGATGGGGATGAGGATGGGGATGGTGATGGTGGTGATGATGGGGATGATGATGTTCATGATGATGGTGGTGATGATGGTGTTGATGAGGACAGTGATGATGGGGATGATGGTTTTGATGAGGATGGGGATGATGATGGTGGTGATGGTGATGATGATGTGGATGATGATGGTTTTGATGAGGATGGGGATGAGAATGATGGTGGTGATGATGGGGATGATGATGGGGATGGGGGTGGTAGGGATGTGGATAATGATACACCCATAAACATTACTACATTTCACCTTCCCTGTGACCCTCAAAGTAGGTTTTTTACTCTCATTTGACACTTGAGGAAACTGAGTCCCAAAGAATGTCATTACACAACTTAATGACATGATTCAACAGTCTCCTTCCAAAAAACATTTTAACACACATTCAATTCTGTAGCATGCGTGTGTGTGAGTGTGCATTTGTGTGGACAGGCAAGTATGCGTGTGAATGTGTGCACGTATAAACACCGTGTATATGTATGAGTGTACATGTGTGTATACGTGGATGCGTACACATATGCTTGTGTGTCTGTGTCAGTTCGGATATGTATGTGTTTGTATGTTTAATGCATCTCTGGCCTGACACAAAGTGTTCGGGGGTCTCCTGGTCCTCCCTGTTGCTCCCCAGACCCGGCAAGCCAGAGCCCACTCCCTGCAGCCCCAGCTCATCCCAGGACACCTGGGGCCCCCCCGACGACCCAGTCTGGATCACCCGCTCTCCCGTGTTCCCCCCCTTAGGTGCATGTGACCTGTTGTTACAGGAGTGGGGGAGGCCGAGCACAGGCTTTGGAGCCCCAGGGACTCCTGCTGGAACCCTGTCTCTGCTACGACATGGGGTATGGCCTCCGGCAGAAGACAGACCTTGTTACATACAGAGGCCAGAAGAGCCTCCAGGAACCACCAGCTGGGAGTGCCGCCGTCCTAGGAGAGAGAACACTGCAGTGTGGCCGGTGAGTGGCCCCCCCACAGCTACGTTGCACTACCTTCTTCTGAACAAAGGAGCTTAAATAAAGCCCTCACCTCTTGACTCACTGAAGCACCACCACACAAACCGAAGGAGAGGTGCCTTCATAATCCGACAAGGGCAAGACCACCCTGCTGTGACCACGGGGTCACCTGTCTCACATCTGAGTTTAACAGGAGGGGCTTTGAGCACAAAGGCACGCACCCCACAAGTGGATTTGCTCGCAGAGGAGTGTTGTTTCCTCCACCCACGCGGGAGGCAGCTCTGAGTTGGGGCGTGCCAGGCGCTCTGTGAACCTGGAAAGAATGTGCCCCAAACCACAGCTCGGGCCGTTGGGCCCAGCTTCTAGTAAATTGGAAAAAGCAAAGAATTTGGATGCCGTGCAGGGGACGTCAAGTGAAAGGTCAAGAGACATTGTCTCAGGCCCGCTCCCTCCGGAGCCCACTTCCTGAACCATCCGCCTGTTTCTTTAAAGGCCGTAGCCAGAAAAAGGATCCCCTCAGGGTTTCAATATGGAAAGTGAGTTTTCCTGCAGCAAACCCCCCACATGAAAGCCCTCTTCCCAAGCCAGCCTCACCAAGAGGAATTTTCAATCCGAGCATCTGCTTCCTGCACTTCTCGTCCACCTGGCTCCTGGATCCAGAAAAGTCCAAGGAGGTGGGAACCATGTGATTCTGGAAACTTGGGGCCAAGAGCCCAGGACCCCAGCACAAACACTTCCTGGACACACACAGCTGGGACGGCCAGAGATAGTGCTCAGATCAACTGGCCCTCAGGCCACACCGGCCTTACACCAGCCGGCGCTGGGAGCCGGGGCGGGCCAGGAAAGGATGTGAAGGACGGGGCTCGAACGCGGCTGCTACGGAGGGGGCACGTGGGCCCCACGGAAGGGGAGGCTCGAAGCTCAGTGGGGCTGGAGGGGAAGCAGAGTCTGGTGGCTCCTCAGAAAGTCACTCCGAAGGCCACTCCTAGGCGTGCACCCCAAAGGCTCCGACACCGTGTCCACGGGAATGTTTGGCACAAACAAAAGGCGGGAGCAGCCCAAGTGTCCCTTGACCAGTAAGTGGACAAACGCATGGTGGCGCACCCCCACAATGGGAGACCCCCACCCTCAAACAGGAAGGCGGCCTGCCACAACATGGGCGCACCCTGAGGGCGCCGCATGCGGGGCCGCAAGCCGCACACGGGAGGACGGGTGGGTGCTGCTGACGAGGCAGAACCTCAACCTCGCGGGAGCCCGTTCCCAGTCTCCCTGTGGCCGGGCCAGGCCCGCGGTTCTGGCCCGCACACATCTGAGGCAGCGACACAGGACGGCTCCAGACCACGGCCCGAGGAGCCTCTCACTCGCTCGGCTGACCTGGGCCGCGTCCATCAGAACTCAGGCTCTGAAGAAGGGCACGGCTGCTGAGCCTGATGATGCGCGGTTACGACGCTTGGTTAGCCTGCCCTGTGGCTCCAGCAACAGCAAGGGAAGCCTTGGGGATATGAGTCCCGGGAGCGTCCTGAGATTCTGTGCCCTGGAACACCAGCAAGGCACGGTGTCTGGAGCAGGCTGGTGCTGCGCTTGCATCTGGGAGTACGTGAGCATGAAAAAGTTCACGGGGACCATCGCCATAAATAAGAATAATGAGCCTACACGCTCACGCCGAGTTCTGCTCCCATGGCCGTCCCTGGAAGAGCTTAATGCAGACCAGACCAGGCGACGGAGGCCCAGAGAACAAAACTCGTCTTCCAAGTGAGTAGCCAGCTTTTGGGAGACTGAGGCCCAAATCACTGTGCCCCAGAACTCCCTCCCTGCACTCAAGGTTGGGCCTGACCCAAGTGAGCAACCCACCTGCCGGCCAGCAGGAACAAACCCAGATCTGCCGCGTACAGGTACATATTCCAGGCTGGCTCCGAGATCAAAGTCCACCCTGCGCCGCCCGGGCGGCCGTGTGCTCTTGTCTACTGGAGGAGCACCTCCTTCCCCAAGCAGGCACCGAAGTGCGAGTTAGCAGGACCCAATGGACCCAGGCATAGTCCGCAGCCATCTGTTCCCTGATGACTGAAACCCGGTGAAGAACGGACAGAGGTCTGTGTGGCCACTGCGGGGAGTATCTGACCTCCTGCCTGAGAGTGGGGAGTCTGTCCGCAGAAAGGGAACTGCAGAGGGACCCAGGGACAAGCCAGGGTCCTGGGGCCACCTCCATACAGCTCACCTTTCACTCTGGACCCCTGGCACCTTTTGACTTTCAATCCATGTGAATGCACCACCTAGTCAAAAACCAGGTCTAAATTTGGACTGAGTTTTTGATGTTTACATTCAGGTTAATAAAGATACAACTCTTGAGTCATCTGGGCCCACCTGGTGACAGAGACCCTAACTGCCAGGTGGACACCTCCATTAGGAGGGCTGAGAACAGTGGAAGCGTGTGGTCTCCCAGTTCTGGAGCCCAGAAGTCCAGAATCAGCACCAGCAGGTGGAAACCGAGGTGCAAGAGGGCCCCATGCCCTCAGAGGCTCCAGGGAAGGACCCCTCCAGCCACTCTCGCCTCTAGGGGTGGCTGGTGGCCTCTGGCCCGAGGTCACCTTGCTCCGTCTCTGCCTCTGTGGTCACAGGGCTTCTCCTTTTCTGAGCAACCTCCCTGTGCCCCCCTCCTGCAAGGACCCGACACTGCATTTAGGGCCTCCTGAGGGTGAATCCTGAGCGTCTCTGCATGGCAAGACCCTCCTGGGGTGCGGGCGCTGCAGGGGGGCCCACACAGAGAACTGGCCTCCCCTCCCTGCCTGTCGTGCCCCCGTGTGCTTCCATGGGGTGGGCACCTCCTGGAACGTGGCTCCAGCCATACTCCGCCACGGAGACTCCAGAAGCGCCCCAGCCGTGGGTGAGGCCCCAGAGCGCCAGGCCTCTGGACGCGCCTGCAGCCTTCCCAGGGGACCCACAAGTGCGATGTCACCAGTGGCCCTCGGAGGCACATCACACCTGTCGAGACCTCCCGCCGCGTCTCTCTGGTGCAGCTACTCTGCAGTGGGGCCCATCCTGCGTAGACACTGCACGGTCCAGAAACCGTAAGCCTCCTGGCAACGTTGGCAAAGCGGGGGGCAGACAGACCCGGAGCCACTGCACAGGGCAGAGCTCTGCACATGCGCACCATCCCGGGACGCTCAGGTGAAAGGGCCCGCCGGTGTCACAGAACGAGGCTGCAGGGGGCACTTCCTCTTCTTGTTCCATGGATTTGCGTGTCGTTTGGGTTCTGCAGAGCACAGTCATCAAAACGTGCTCAGTTATCTAGCCAGGAAACATAACTCGCCAAAAGTGAGAGAAAAGAGAGAAAAACTAAAACCCTATACACCCTTTCATCCACATCAAGGAATTTAACTTGAAGGAAGAAACAAACAAGTACCAAAGGTGAGCGCACAGGACGGCCATGGTCGTTGAGAAAACGCAAGCAGCCCTGGGAGGGAAGGAAGGGTTTTAAAGCAACTCTACAGAAGCAGATACTACAAACCCTTCCTGACAGATGGACGTTCACAACCTCGTGAGCGGGACAAGCTGTGGAGGATGTGATCCCACGCTGTGACACGGAATTAGCGTACACGCATAAATCCACAAGCACCGCCCCAGAACAGTCCCAAGGATTTTCTCCAGGAGTTCGATTTTCCCAATTGTTCGTAGGATCTCCATTCCCAACGCATGGCCCCCGAGGCCCTCACCGATGTTGGGTGCCCCCCTGGAAAGACCCCACCCTGCAGTCATTCCTGGTGCCCGCCGGGGCCACGTGACTTGGCAGCAGGCTCATGGGTGTCTGTGGATGACAAGGGCACATGGAAGCCTCAGATCCTGACCTGGGCACACGCGCGCCCCCTGCGACCAGCGGCCAGCAAGGCCAGGGAGGGGTGTCGATCCCGGCCCCATCCCCTCCCAGGTTCCTACCTTCTCTCGTTGTCGTCCAGGTGGGCAAACAGCACATTTTTGGAGATGGCTTTGGCCAAAGCCGTCATGGTCTTATAGTCCTTCGGGATGACCTGCAGGGGAAGCCAGTGAAAGTCAGACTTGCGAGGGTCCTCGAGGGTCCTGCAGACAGATAGGGGACAACAGCTCGGCAGCATGAGTGTGCTCGACGCCCCTGAACCCTACACAGCAGCACAAAGTGGTGCACGGACAGACTGTCCCCAAAACCCTACACCCCAGCGTGTGGCATCTGCAGGCGGGCCCTGGCGGGATCAGCGCCCCAGAGGAGCAGACCCCCGAGAGCCCGCTCTCCCACTCTCCTCGACACCTGAGGACACGGGGGCGGCGGGACTCCCACCAGGAACCCGCCCACCGGCACCTGCTTTCGGACGCCCGGCCTCCAGACCGTGAGAGAATGAGCGTCCCAGCCACCCGGGCTCACACACACAGGAAACCGTAGGCTATGCGTAGCGCGCCTAATTAACTTTGTTAAGAGATCAAAAACTAAAAATACCAAGAAAAAAAGTAAAAGCGAGGGTATAAAAACATAAACACACAAGATGGAAATGACAAGCCCGCATCCGAGGGCAGGCGGAGGCCGGGCTGCACACCGATGCGCGTGGGGACATCGCATGTGTGCTCGCGCTCCAGAGCGCATCACGACGCAGCGGCAGGCTGGGCGCCGAAGCCGAGGGCAGGACGCCGAGGAACAGCAACGTGGAGGGGGGGATTCCCACTGGGCAGCTCTGAGGCCAGGCTCCAGTCTCCAGGAGGACGGGGGCCCCGGGATCTCCTCCCCACACCCTGCGAGCCCGCGGGCAGTGACTGTGACGATGACGTTCCCACCACCGCAGCCCCTCTCGGAGCAGAAGGGAGAGTAGCTGGAGCAGGGACCCCAGGAGTGAGGGCCGGGGGGCCCACCTTCCTCACGTAGGACACGGCATCCTCCTCCGTGTACACCTCGGCACTCACGCCCCCTCGGCGGCGGCGGGCTTTCACCACGGGGTTCGGTGGGGTCGGGGAGACCTCCTCATCATGTGAGTCTGACTTCTGCTGTGTCAGAATCTGTCTGTTTTCTTCCTGTGGGAGAAGACAGAGGGAGGTCTGAGAACAGCGGCTGGCGTGGTCTGTCCACCTGCGGGTGCAGCCGAGGGGCCCTCCCCAACCCTCCTCCCTCCATGCCCGGCAGACCCCCAGCTTCAAGGGCACCTCCAAGTCCATGTCTTCCCACCCACCCAGCCCCACAGAGCGCCTGCTCGGAGGGTTTCTGCCCGCCCTCACTGCGAGCGCAGGCATGGTGTCGGCCCCGGAAAACATCAGACACATTCGAAGGCCCTCATGGCCTCCAGTCTCGGGCATGACATGCGTCCCCTCGAGGGTGCCATGGCCACAGCCCGCCTGCACGTGTCCCCCAGCCAGCACGGGCTCCTCCCAGCCCAGAACGTGCTTCCCACGTCTCAGGACTCGCCCCCACCCCCCAAATACCACAGTGAGTGCAGAGCCCCCTCCCCTCGGGGCTCCCTCCCTCGCCCCTCCTCAGCTCCCGTCCTTGCTCGCCCAGAACCGCACGGTTTGCTGAGCTGCCTGCCAAGCCGTTTCCCACAGCAGCTGCGCCCGAACGTGCCCCCCATCCTTGCTGTTTTCCCAGGTTTGGGCGTTTTTCATGTGGTTGATGTGTGCTGGGTTTGGACACACTGACTTTGAGAAAACGATGAGACCCAGACTGGGGAATGGCCGGCACAGCACTGGGGTCTCAGGCCCAGTGCGGACACACAGATGCTCAGCTCCAGGGGTCCCACACAGACAACCCCCAGAGGCAAGTACCCAACCTGGAGCCAGAGCTACTGGCCAAGGGAGAGGAGAAAGAGGGACACAGGGCTTCCTCCACCTTACTGCCCACCCCCAAGCGGTGTCCCTGGTGAACACGTCGATGCCACCTCCAGCAAGCAGCCTTCCATCCACCATTCGTCTCCAAGCCCCGGAGTTCTCCCCCCACTGCTTCAACACGATGGGCCGCCAGAACCCACTACACGCTCAGCCATGGCCCTCCCCACTCACAAGACATGGCACCTCCGGGCACTGGCTGGAAAGGAAGGGTGAATGAACGGAGTCAGGAGGGGGGTTGAGCCCCATGTCCTCGAGTTACATAGGCTGTCGTGACCACAGCGCTCAGAGGCTGGGGGCTGATGTTGGGCCCTGGCCCGCGACATGCCCTCCAGAGCCCAGGCTTGGGGGTGCCGTCTCAGCAGCCCCCTTGGGAGGCCTGGGTGCAGCGAGAGGGTTTCCAGCGGGAAGGGCAGGGTTACAGGACGCCGAGGGGGTCAGAGCAGAGGAACTGAGACCCGCAAGGAAGCCCCGTCATGTCTGGGCCAGCACCGGGACCGCTGGGAAAGGTGCCCAGCTGCAGACCCGCACAGTGGCTGTGTTACACACAGGGGGAAAGGAAGAGCACTGGGCACCTCGCTTTCTTGGGACCGTGGGCATCGCTGTCCTGCCTCGGGCCATTTTCCATGCTTGCCAGCAAAGGGCCTAACTGGGCAGGATCCAGGAGATCTGAGGCCACTTGGGGAGGTGTCGGGCGGAAACGGGATGGCATCCCCTCCCCTCCCCCTCGGGATTCCAGGAAAACCTCTAATTTTCCGGAGCCCCCTTCCTGTCTCCTGTTCTCACGCTGATGAGCTGTCTGGGCTGCAGGATGGTCAAGGGCACGGGGTCAGAGGAGTCTTCACAACAGCAGTGTGGGAACAGCATTTCCAGAAAGCTCTGCAGCCAGAATCTGCACCAGAAATGCCTAATGCAGCTCCAGGGACTGTCCCTGTTCTGCCCCCGGGGCCAAGTGCTCCCTGGATCGTGAATGACAGTCACAATCTACTTCTGACCATGTTTTTCCAGCACGAGGGGTGAAAGGCAGACTTGCAGCCTGAGAAGAGAAAATTCTAGGCCAGGGAGGGGTGGGATGACGGGAGATTCTCTGGACCTGAGTTTCTGCTCCTGAGAGAAGCCCACATGCCTGGGACCCGGGACCGGCAGAATCCCTCCCTCCACGCCCCAACCCCAGGCGTGCTGGCTGAGGACACAGCTGGGGCGGTTAGCCAAGTCAGCCTGACCCCGTGCACAGGCCCTGAATACCCCAGAGGAGGGGAGGCCATGTCCCGGGCGGTGGCCAGACTCCCAGTGGCTGCCCACGGTCAGCATTTCTAGGGCTCCCCCCAGGGAGACAGTCCCTCAACCCCTGTCCCGTCCAACCGAGTGGGCGCCGTGGTATTGGAGATCTGTGGTGTCCAGGGCAGGGGTCCATGGTGCCGGCCCCGGGCCGACCACAAGCCTCTCTCTCGGGGCTGCAGCCTCTCAGAGCAGAAGGCAGGCCCAGGGCCGTCATCCCCGTCTATGAGGCCAGGAGAGGATGAGGGCCACGTCCAGGGGCACTCGACCTTCAGTGGCAGGGTGAGGAGAGAAACGTGCAGTTTCAATCACTTGTTGAGTACCTCACCCAGAGACTGCTACAGAGAAAAAGGCATAGTTCTGTCATGAAGATTTCCATCTAACAGGAAAGACAGGTGAAGAGTCAGGGCAATACAACAGCATGAGCCACAGAGGACTAGGTACAGGGCTGGGCGGGGCAGGGGGAAGTCAGGGAGGGCTTCCTGGAAGAGAGGCCTTCTGAGCCTGCCCAGATGAGCCGAGTGGAACCAGGGACACCTGTGGGCCCCTGTGAGCTCAGCCTCTGCACCTCCCCAGGCACCCTGTTCAGAAAGCGCCCTCTCCCCAACCTGTGCGCCAGCTTGCACCATCTCTTTGCAAGGCCGCCTTCCCAGATGCCTATTTTATTCATCGTCAGAGTCACCTCTGCGTTTACCATCTGCTACCATCTCTGATCTCTGTTTCATTATCTTCTGCCAGATCTTCACTATTCTCTGCCTGCGTTTGCTTAGTCTGGCTCTGTCACTCAATTTCCGACTTCCCAGGCCACACACACAGCGGGTTCGATAGGCCCCCTCCCGAGGGTGGCTCTATTTGGAAATGGGACCTTTGCAGACGCTGTCAGGTAAAAATGAGTTCTGGACACACGCCCGCAGGGCAGACCTCGCCATGAAGACAGAGGCAAAGGCTGGGTGATGTGTCTGCAAGTGAAGGACTGGAGGCGACAGGCTAGGACACAGGAGGAAGCGCCCCACTGAAGTCTTGGCCTCGGGCTCTGGGCTCCAAGCTGTGGGGCAATCAGTTCTTGCTGCCTGCAGCCGCCCAATCCGCAGTGATGTGCTCTGCTCAGGAATTCCTGATCTTACTTTCTGGCGAAGCGGTGATTTTCCCTCCAAGGACAGATTCTGCTGCAACTACGGGAAGCTTTGTCACTCAGTTTAGATATTTCATGATTTTTTACTTTTTACGTAGATTTTTACTATGACGGTCTTCTTCAATAAATTATGCAAAAGCTCGTTATTGGTTTCCAAGTGTATGGGGAGGCTGGCTGCCTCCTTTTTTCTGGTTACTTCTTAATTAGTGATAATAAAGTAACTCTATCAGATTATAATCAAAGAATATAGTTTTTGAGTGAAAAAACGATTTAAACTCATCTGGGGATCCTTTTAATAACATGTCCCATTGTGTACGTGATTGTAAAACCCTGACTTACACACACCTTTCCTGGATCTCGTATGTTGCCTGATCACACACTGACGGGACCCAGAAAGAGCAGAACTCAGTAGTGACCAGAGCAGACTAGGGCCTACTGTCTCGTGCAGCTGGGCGCATGCCCAGGGGGGCACAGCCGGAAACTCCTGTGCTCAGTATCACGACCCAGCACCCGGAATGCACCAGGCCTGCGGCAGGGGTTCGATAGGTATCTGTGGAATAAACAGGTGAATGAATAAACCCTTTCTGCAGCACAGCCAGCTTCACAAATCAATGTGTCCATCCGAGCCCCGTAACTCTCTTTCTTAAAATACATCCTAGCAAAGCAATGACAGGTGTCAAAGAGATATCGGTACTAGAATGTTCTCTGCAACGTTTAAAAATTTTTAATCCAGGGCGCCTGGGTGGCTCAGTCATTAAGCGTCTGCCTTCGGCTCAGGTCATGATCCCGGGGTCCTGGGATCGAGCCCCTCATCGGACTCCCTGCTCTGTGGGAAGCCTGCTTCTCCCTCTCCCGCTCCCCCTGCTTGTGTTCCCTCTCTCGCTGTCTCTCTCTCTGTCAAATAAATAAAATCTTTAAAAATAAATAAATAAAAAATAAAATAAAAAACCAAAAGCAGTAATCAAATCATATATAATGAAAACTCAGGCCACAGACTAGGAGAAAATATCCACAAAACACAAATCCAATAAAGGACTCCAGTCCAAAATATACAAAAAAAGCCTCTCAAACTCAACAACAGGAAAACAGACACCCAACACGGAGCATCCGCCCACCGCGAACACCCACTCGGGAAGATGCTCCACATCACGCGTCCTCGGGGACACGCAGAGGAAAACAGCGAGGAGACGCCACTGCCCACCCCCCCAGCCCCGCGTTGGAACGGCCACGGGCCAGAACACGGTCAGCACCAGATGCTGGCGGGACGCGGAGCAGCGGGGAATGGCGCGGCCACGTCGGGAGGCGCCTGTGGTTTCTTACAAAACCAGCCACGCTCTTGCCGTGCAGTCCAGCGGACGTGCTCCTCGGCATCTACCCCCAGGACATGAGAACGCAGGTCCCCGTGACACCTGTGTACGGATGTTTACGGCAGCTTTATCCACAGCTGCCCAAACTGGGAAGCGACCAGGGTGCCCTGGAGTCGGGCCTGGACGCACACGCCGTGGGCCGTGCAGACGGTGGACGGTGACTCGAGTGCTACAAAGGAGTGAGCTCTGAAGCCGTGGAGGAACCCGACACGCGTGATCCTGAGCCGGCTCCGGACTGGGATTCCAGCCGTGGGGCGTTCCCGAAAAGGCAGGACTGCGGGGATGGTAAACGGTGGGCGGGTGCCGGGGGCTGGGGAGGGGAGACAGGGTGGAGCGTGGTGGATTTGTGTAATATCGTAATTGGATACATGTCGTTACACAACCGTGCAAACCCAGAGACCGTGCCTGAGGCAGGCCGT